AAATGGGTTTCCTTGCAGCGGATAAGTACTTTCTCCAGGTTTTCAAGGCATTTTTCAAACGTTTCCCCAAAAATAGAGAAGTCATCCATGAATACCTCCATGAAGTGGCCAATGTATTTTTCAAAAATGGCAATCATGCACCTCATGAAGGTGGCAGGAGCATTACAGAGACCGAAAGACATCCTACGAAAAGCAAAGGTCCCAAAAGGGCATGTAAACGTAGTTTTGTCTTGGTCTTCCGGGTTGACATGGATTTGGAAGTATCCACTCATGCCATCCAGGAAACAGTAGTGACTATGGCCTGCCAACCTCTCTATTAATTGATCGATGAAGGGAAGGGGAAAATGGTCTTTCCGGGTGGCTTCGTTCAGTTTACGGTAATCGATTACCATTCGCCACCCGGTAACAGTTCGACTGGGTAGAAGTTCGCCCTTTTCATTTTTCATGACGGTCATTCCCCCCTTTTTGGGGACAACATGAATAGGGCTTACCCACTGGCTATCAGAGATGGGGTAAATGATACCCGCATCCAGCAGTTTGACAATCTCAGCACGCACTACTTCCATCATGTTTGGGTTTAAACGTCGTTGTGGTTGGACAACTGGTTTAAACCCTTCCTCAATCTTGATGGTGTGGGTACAAAAGGCGGGGCTTATTCCATTGATGTCCTCAAGTTTCCAAGCAATTGCTTGCTTGTGTGTCTTAAGGACTCCAAGTAATTTCTCCCTTTGTTCCTCACTTAAGTGTGCGGCGATGACGACAGGGCATTTGCCTTCGTCATCCAAGAATGCATATTCTAAGTGGTCGGGCAGTTTCTTTAGTTCGAGGGGGTGGTCGTTTTTCAAGTTTTGTTCATTTTTCTCCCCCTCAAACTCAGTCAATACTTCGTTAGAAGCTTGATCAATCAGCGCATCCTCACAACTCTCACATGCATCACTCACATCACTGTTGGCTTCTTTTAACAGACATGCGTCATCAGTTACATGTCCATTTTCTTCCCCAAACAGATACCCTTCAATAGACTCAAAGGTATCAAGAAAATGACATCCTTGAAAGGAATCTGTGGGGTGTTTCATAACATCTGAGAGTCGGAAGGTGCAAAGATCATCTCCGACTCTTAGAGTTAATGAGCCATCAGTGACATCAATCAAGGCCCTGGCGGTAGCCAGAAAGGGCCTTCCCAGAATAAGAGGTGTTTCCCTATCCTCTTCCATGTCCATTACTACAAAGTCGACTGGGAAAATGAATTTGTCAACCTTGACCAAGACGTCTTCAACAATTCCTTTCGGATATTTGACTGAGCGATCAGCCAGTTGAAGACACATCCTGGTGGGTTTCATTTCCCCAAGTCCTAGCTTCTCGACTATAGAGGAAGGCATCAGATTGATACTTGCCCCTAAGTCAGCTAGAGCATTATTGAAGTTGAAATTGTCTATAGAGCAAGGGATAGTGAAACTACCTGGATCCTTTAGCTTTTCGGGTATTGACCTCAGAACCACGGCCGAGCATTCTGCGTTCAAGTCCACGACTGAGAGCTCCTGCAGCTGCCTTTTGTTTGTCAGCAAGTCTTTGAAAAACTTGGCATATTTGGGCATCTCCGCTAAGGCATCCATCAGCGGCAGGTTGACGTGGAGTTGTTTGAGTAGGTCCAGGAATTTGTTGTACTTCCTGCTATCGTCATCATTTCTAACCCGTGAAGGAAACGGGAGAGAAGGTTTGACGATAGTGACCCTTGTGTTAGGGCGTGTTGGTTCCATGCTCTTCTCAGTTGGAGCATCAGTTTGTTTCTCAGGTTCCATGGTCGGGGTACCTTCCTCTTCCTTGTCTTTCTGCTCAGCCACGGTTGTTTGTCTCCCGCTTCGAAGAGTGATGGCTTGCACATGTTCACGGGGGTTTGGTTCCGTGGTGCTAGGCAAGTTGCCTGGCTGACGACCAGGAACATTGTTCTGATTAATTTGCATCATCAGATTTTTGATCTGATTGTCAGTGCTGGCCTTGTATCTTGTTATTTCCTCCCGTGTCCTTGCCAGTTCTGCTACCAACAAGCCTATCTCTGATGGCTGGGCAGCCTCCGTTTGTCGTTGGTGTGGAGGCACATAAGCTTGGTTGTTCTGTTGGGCTGGTGCACCTCCCTGGTTCCGACTCTGGAAGTTGTTCCCTTGATTATTGTTGGGGTAGTTTTGATTACCTTGATAACCGCCGCGAGGAGGACCATTGTTGTAATCCCCCCGCCATTGGTTACCTTGGTAATTCCTTCCTTGGAAATTCTGAGGAGGGTAGTTGGAGTTACCCCCCCGGTTGCCTTGATTCGCCCATGGCCCTTCTTGTTTTGTTCGGCCATACTCCAGCAGGTTCACCTCCCTGTTGTTGCTTAGATTACATTCATCAACTAATTGACATGAATTGGTCAAATGTGGACCAAAACATATCTCACAAGAGAGTACAAGTTCAGTTGAATGGGAAACAGGTGAAAAAGTATTAAATTGAGATGACTGTGGGACAGAGCTTGAGTTCCCGAAGTATCGGGATGATTGTTGATTCGGGACAGCACCGATGTTGTTGACTTGGTTGGTGTGATTGTTATCATTCTTCAAATTCTTCACTTCCACGACCAATCCTTCAATCTTCGCTGTTAGGGCCGTGAGTTGGTCAACTTCAAGATAGCCTGGTTTTGTTGCTGCTGGAGTTCTTTCATCATACCAGTATCTTGCATTTGAAGTGACCTTCTCCACCAGAGCTTCGTTGGTGTTGGGTGCCATGTCAAGGAATGATCCCACCTGAGAAGAGAAATCAAGTTCTTTTTTGCTACTAACTTGAAGTCCATTGTAAAAATGGAACATCAAGCTACTAGAATCCATCAGTGTGAGTGGACATTTGTTTCTCATATCCTTGAAACGATCCCATGCTTCACTTAAGGACTCCATCGGGAATTGTCTAAAATTTTGAATTGCTATTTTAATTTTAGCAACTGCCGATGGAGGAAAGTATTCTTGCATGAATGCTTGGTGCAGTGCCGCCCATGTTGTGAAGTGACCCGTTGGAAAGCTATTCAGCCACAAAGATGCCCTATCCCGTAATGAGAAGGGAAATAGGGTCAACTTTGCGGCGTCGGAGGTCACTCCGTTAAAGCGGAACGTTTGGCATGCTCGGGTGAACCACAACATGTGGGCCCTAGGGTCATCTTGCTTGGACCCGCCAAATTGATGGTTGGACATCATGTTGACAATGGCGGGTTTGATCTCGAAATTGGCTGCCTCGATTGCCGGTGCGCTGATACTATCATCCTCGATGAAGTTTGGCGTAAGATTTTGCAACACCGTCCTTTCTCCCGCCATGCTTGGTTTCTTGTGGATTGAAAGATTTTTCCACAAAGTTCGTTCAGGTTCAGGATCAAGTTCAATTAGACCTTCCACTCCTTTAGAGCGGGTGTGCATTCATTTATCCTGAAATCTTTATACAAATTGTCGCAAGGGCGAAAAAGTCTCCCTAACTAGAATTCACCTATGCTAGAATTAAATCAAGAAATAATCGTGCCATTCCCCGGCAACGGCGCCATTTGATAACCCGCTTTCGCGGCGTTGTAGTAAAACGGAGTCTAACCTTTCGGTTTTTCCCCGAGTGTCGTGTCTCTTGAGGAATGGCGGAGAAGTTTCTTGATTTAATTTTAGTCACGGGCTATCGCTAATTGTTGGAAGCTTTTTCAATATAGGAAAGTGATTTTGTTCTATATTACGCTAAATTATAACTAGGAGCAAGGGCAATTTAAAGATTAATGTATTAAGATTGAATATTCAAGGATGCAAATAAGGGCAATGAATTGAGTAATTAGAAATGGATATGTTCTTGGACCTCTTAATTAGGGAAATTAAGACTAAAGTTGGACTAATAATTTCTTTTCTCATAGACAAGAATAGAAACTATCTTCATTAATTTATCCTATTTCTAGGTGTCATTAATGTGTTTAAAATGGTTGGCTTAAATTATTTTCTAAACCCATAGACAAGGTAGAAATAATTTTCCAATATTTTAATTAATAAAAATAGCCAAATTCATTAACTAGTTAAACTCTTTATTTTAGCAATTGAATTTATTTCTCATAAACAAGATGTAAATCCTTTTCATTAAATTATCCTATTTCTAGGCTTTATTAATGTGCTAAAATATGGTTGGCTTAAATTAATTTCTAATCTCATAGACAAGTTAGAATTAATTTTCCAAGAATTTAATTAATGGAAATGGCTAACTATTATTAATTACTATTTCATCATTTTAAACAACTAGTCCAATTTATTAGTTTTAACCCCTAATTTTAGGTCAACAAGTCAATCCATATTCCTTTTCTCAATTCATGCCCTAACAAATTTAGCTACTCATCATCATTTTTACAATTAACAATATAATGATTAAATTCAACATGAACAAGGAATTAAACATGTATGATAGCAAAAATTAAACAAAAATTATATTCTGGAACAATAAACTTGTAGGAACTAAAATATAACTTTCTGGAAATTTTTACCAATTTTTGAACCTAAAATCCAATTTTTGACAACTAATTGATAATTTTCCCAATTTTAACTAGAAAATGCAAAAAGCAACTAAAAATATGCTAACTTCGTTATAAATTTTATTTTAGCTACTGGGAGTGATATTACTATGAATCAAACTGAAATTAGGGCCGAACTCATTTTTTTTCTATTTTTCTAGTATTTATTCTAAATTATGAACTAATCTCAAATAATTACCAAAATTAATTAAAAATTACTTATGCTTCGTTAAAAATTAATTTCTTCAGATAAATAACTACCTTGAGGCTAGTGAACAACTATATAATTAATTGGAATGAATTCATCAACAATAACTATTTTATTTAATTTTTGGAAGTAAATGCGAAATACTTGAAAAATAATCTGGAAATTTTCGAAGAACAGATTGAACAAACAAAGTGCAGATTCAGATTCTACTCGTTGAGAAGATGAAAATACATATAAAGAACTTACAATTTGGAGCTAAAATGAAGAAGATATGAAGATTTGAAGTTTCTCTCTCTCTAAGACCTTTGGAGCTCGAAAATGGAGGAAGAAAGAAGGTGTTTTGAACTGATTTAGGGTTGGAAGAGGTGTGTTTGAGTTGAGGAAAAATCGGGCTATTTATAGGAGAAATTTCCCCGAAGGCGGCCAACCAGGCGGCCGCCTTCCGCCTCTCTCCGGCCGCCTGCCGTCTTCGTCGCCGACAGCGGTCGGTGGCCGGTCCCCGTCAGCCGTAGGCGGCCACAGAGGGCGGCCGCCTTCCGTCACACATCGGCCGCCTGCCGTCTTTTCAGTGTCAAATCGGATCGCGGCGGATCCCGGCGGATCCCGGCCGCCGCAGGCGGTCCAGCAGGCGGCCGCCTGCCGTTCCTGTCTGGCCGCCTGCCGTCAAATCCCACCGGCCGGCGGTTGCTTCGTCGTCTTCTACCGCAGGCGGTCACCGTAGGCGGCCGCCTTCCGTCCAGTGTCGGCGGCCTACGGTCTTTTCCGAATCCGGTCAAAGTCAAAGTTTGACTTTCCAAAAATACCGTAGGCGGCCGCGAAGGCCTTCATTTTGGCCGCCTTCCTGGCCGCCTGTGAGATTATTTGTCCGGCTTGTTCCTTATTTTGTGCTCTTCAATATTGTCTTCTGGACCACTTTGAAATAATGTCTCCTTCTTTCGGTATGATATCATTTGTTGCTCAAATTGGCTCATTTTGTGCTCAATCGACCCGAAATTCCGACAAACATACGATGAATGTGGTTTTCACCTGATTTCATGAAACTTGAACCAAAATATCTAAAACATGCCTTTTCTTTCTATTTTCAATCAAAAATCGCTTAAATTTGATAAGAAAAATAAGTACAAAAATGGACTTATCAATAGAATTCACCGACGTTGTTGATATTAGTTTGCTGATTTGAGAAAGGAAATCCAAAGGGTATTATCGCCGGAGATTTGGCCCATACTAGCCATACAAGGGGTTTTAAGCATGATGGTGAGTTTTCTTCGCTAGAGAAGGAAAGAGCATTCGAGTTGCATCCGTAGAAGCGCCGTGTTACACAACGGTTCTGCAATTGCAGGGGAAACACAAGATGGGCTCAAGGGAGATGAGGGGTGGCTGGATTTGCTCACGTTTGATTGGGGATCTCGTTCGGAGAAGGTAGACGTTTTTAAGCTGAAGCAGAAAGAGAATATTGTTTTGAGGGATCACTAGATTTCGCATGTGGGACTTGGTCACCGATACAAAATGGTTTGCCGACACTGCTTGCTGGCGAGGATACGACTAGACACCAAGTACAGGGACCACATGACATGTTTTTTTTTAAAGGAGTTTATGAAACTATCTGATTAAGCTGCAAAAAAATCCGCATGGGCCATGCCCAACTCAATTTTTTTGGATGCTTTTACTTGGACTGTAATCTGTTCCAAACCAAAACAGGCCAGACTTGGATAGTTATAAAAATAGAAAGAGACCAGACCAGACCAATTCAGACCAAACAAGACCAGACCAGCAAATTACAGTCCACCTAAAAACATCCTTAGTTCTATTTACCTAGCTACTTGACTAGGTGATAGGCGCCAGTGACCAGAATGCCACTTATGGCATTGCTAGCACCACACTAGCTGCTCTCAATTTACTACATTGTCCATAACACAGATTAGAGATTGGGGTTGTATCAATTAATCATGGGAAAAGGTGCAAATAGGCCCATGTACTAACCAAAAAAGGTCAAGTAAGCCCTTATTTAGGAGACTCTGTCCGGCCGTCATCATTTGGGGTGGTTCCTGGTGGAATTTTTTTATGAAATTTTTTTAGCATCTTATTCATCAAGTCTAGTTTACGCATATCAAATTTCAGCTAAAACTTCAATCGGGAAGGCATTCAAATGAATTCTTGAAGATAACTGTGCTTCTAACTGCGCCGTTATGTTCAAGAATTCATTTGAATGTCTTCCCGATTGAAGTTTTAGCTGAAATTTGGTATGCGTAAACTAGACTTAATGAATAATATGGTCAAAAAAATTCATCAAAAAATTCCAACGGGAACCATCCCAAATGGCGACAGCCGGCCAGAACCTCCTAAATAAGGGCTTATTTGACCTTTTTTGGTTAGTACATGGGCCTATTTGCACCTTTTCCCATTAATCATTGTACATGTATTTCTTTAACACACTTGGGCCATGTACCAAAGCAGCCAGTTCGTAAACCAAACTAAAATTAAACCATCCTAAAAAGAACTCCCCCCTCCCCCTCCACACCATAAGTTGGAGAGTGACTCTTGACTAAATGACTAAACAGAAATTAAACTGCATTATAATAACAAAGCTACCAAGCAAAACCTTTGGAAGGTTACATCATATTCACTGATCTTCCAGTGTTCATGATCAAGTCCTGAGACGCAAGTAACGGGTTCTTTTTACATCATTGGACCTCCCAGGATTAACACTTTTGCCATCACATATGTCACGCAAAAGCAAGTTATTAGAATCTTCTGCCTCATCATCAGTGTCAACTAGCTCAGCCAGTGACATCCGTGTGAGCATACTAATGCGTCTTGGGAGGAAGACATTGAAGTAATAATTGACTGCAGTTGTCCTAAGATCAGAACGGAAAGACTTCAAGGCCTGCTTCAGAAACTTCTTTCCATTTGAGTGTGGATTCTTTTTCACCAATGGCTCAAAAGTCTTTTGGTCCTCGGCTGTCCATGACTTCAACATTTGTTCCCCCATTTCATCAAATTTCCAGGCTGAGAACGCAGGGCCAAGATCACATTTGAGACGGAGTCTCTCCTCTAGAACATGGCTTTGAACACACTCAACTGAGCCTGGAGATTGGCAAGTGCAAGACTCTGCTCTGCCTTTTCCAACATATTTAGTGGATTGTTTGGTATTGCCCATTTCAATAGGCCAGACTTTGGTTCCTAACCATCTTGAATCATCAGAACCACCATGAGCTTGTCTATAGCCAACTGGTTCGGACCACTCGGGAATTTCAGCCTGAAAACGGGGCCCAACTGGAACAACCATCTTTGGAGAGGGATCATCTGTGAAGCTCTCTAACCTAATGGTAATGGACCCACGAGGTGATTGAAGATGCCTGGTCTTTGATCCTTTCCTAGTCAATGACTTTGAATTGTGAATCAGTTCATCCAAGGCAAGCAATGGTGCTTCGATGGGGGTGAGGGTTAGGTCCACAGGGCTCAAGTGGTCTGAGCCATTTACAGATTCGTCGGAATCAATTACAGAAGAAATATAGTTGGCAGGAGGACCCATATCTACAGCGTTTAGAAAGGATTCTGAAAACATTCGCTCTTGAAGACTCGCTTCAAATGTTAATAAGCTCGTTGGGCTATGTGAAGTCGGGACTGCATTTTTTTCAAAACTTTTGGATTTCACTGAACTGTTAAAGCATGAAACAGTCGATGCATGGGACAACTGTCTTCTACTCTTTTTTTCCTTACTTTTGTTGTCAAATGTCTCCAATGGAAGGTTGGGAGCGTTTCTCAAGTTTCCTTTGATGTAAAGTTGGAGCTTTCTCTTTCTCTGTCAAACAAATAGGAGGAGATTAGTTCACGGGTAAATTTAGGTTTAGAGCATTTACATGAAAACTTTTTTAGGAAGAAATAGGCTAAAATTGATAACACATCATTCAGATAGTAGGTAAACGACAAAAAGACTTCTGGCAACCGCTGACTCTCGAACCAGACTCAAAGTTTATCACCTCGACAGAAGCAATATAACTCGTTGATCCATTATTGGGCGCAAATGAGCCAAAGACGGTTAACGCAGTCCTTTCATCACCCACATCGAAATCCACTATCTTACAGCAAAATAAAAAATAAAAAAAGAAATGAAAAAAACAAAACTTCAGACAATTAAAGAAATTAAAAAGAAAAAAAGAAAATAAAATAAAACTCTTGCTCCTTCCAGAGCACCACTGCCATCCACGTTCTGGAACCTCCTATCTGTTTCTGATACTCCGGTGGCAGCTTAGAAGCGGGACGAGCCAGCAGTATTGTAGCTTCTTCCTCTCTCTTTTTCTTATTCATCATGTTCTCTGCCAAGCTTCCACTTTCGCCACCAATCACATATGATCTTGAAGCCAGATCTGTTCGAGCTTTTAACTCCAAGCTACGCCCATGACCTCCACTCGATGATGTCATCATCTCACTATTGTTGTCTCTGACTCTCTGTTTCTTGTTCGCATCAAGAAAAGTCGTGGCAGGATAAAACCCCAATCGAAGAACCGCCCAATCTATCAGATCGACGCAAGAACAAACACCCCACTTAGAGGGACAAACGGCCGTTTGAATGGAAAATTAGCAAATCATAAAAGTTGAACACTAAAGAACTTTGCGGCTGGACTTTGCCGAGGGGACTTTGGATCAGCCCAGCGCCGAAGAGAAAGAAGAAAAGTTTTGCAGGAGGCGCCACATTCTCTACCCTAGCGGCTGCGAGTCTTGAAAATTAATTACACATGAAAACTTAAAAGAACATGAAAAAACAAGGTTACTTCTCATTTTCAAATTGGAAATTTAAAAGCACACTTCGCGCTTTAAAAAATGGAAAATGAAGAAAGTGTGGTTGTCACCTAACCATCTGCACAATGCTATTTCTACCCAATAGGGGCCCTAAGTGCACCCATATTGAGGCTCAAAAGAAGCTCGAATTGAGCCCAGCTCTGATGAGTGCTCGAATTATACACAGATAATGCACCACAACGCTACTCTAGCAGAAAGGTTTACAAGTTGAAATGAGATACAAATCTGGAACAGATTTTTGCCATTGTTCAACCTCCAACAACTAAATTCGTCCTTTCAAGCATACAGAGAGTCCATAGACTTCAATATCCCACATTTGAGCTCAGAACGTTAATTGTTTTCTTTTTCATTATTTGATTGTTTTCTTTTTCATTATTTGATTTTCCTTGGTTGTGTAATTCTATAACTCAATATTCACTCTGAAGTACTTATTTTCTCCTAATCTGTTTCATCTTATTTTTAAGATTTTGAAATTGTATTTTTACTCGAGTAATTTGAAAACTAGTTTAGAAATGACAAGTATGAATTAAGTACACCAAACCAAACCAAAGCTAACATGATCAAGAAGTAACCTATCATCCCTCCACATGTATACTTTTCTCCCTCCAATTCGTTCTCTCTAAAGTCGTACTCTCATCCAATCCAAGAAGTAACCTATCACTCTTGACCACTCGAATTCATGTCTGCTTAGGTTGTCCTCTTCCTCTCCTCCCCGCCTCTTCTCTTCATCTCTCAACTCGTCTAACAGGTGCACTTCTCGGTCTTCTACACACATGATAAAACCACCGCAATCGACACTCTCACATCTTATCTTCAATAGGTGTTACTCTCACTTTTTTTTTTGTTTCATTCATCAAACGGTCTTTTCTAATATGTTCCCACATTCAACAACATGCGCATCTCAGTCACACTCCTCACTAGAATGTGACATTGTTTCACATCCAACACTTTACGTCATACAATAATGCAGGCTTAATTGATGTCCCATAAAAGTTAACCGTCAATTTATTTGACATATCTCGATCATAGAGAAATCCCGACACAATCTTCCATTTCATCTACCTTGTTCTGATTCTATAAAATGCATCACCATCTAGATCACCATCTTCTGAATTATGAAGTCTAAGTAAGGGAACATACCACTGAACGATATAAACTTACCATCTAAGAATATCTCACCACATGACCCATAAATACAAAAAATATGAACTATAAACACTATAAATCTATAAAAACCACCAAAAAATGAGAAGAAAATAAATATAACATTCTAACTAAAACATGTGAAGTTTAAAATGGTTTAATATAGCTCAAACAAAAACTTATATCCAAAAAAATTATGTCATCCAAAATATGTCAACTTGTTTGTGTTTGATAATTATGATATCATCATCATCAATTATGACACTCCTCATAATCTAGATCTGAATTTGATAACAATGGAACATCATCCTCATTCATTTCATTCCCGGGAGGATCTTTAAACTCATGTACGTCATCAATTACGTTGGTTGGCCCTTATTTACTTCATATTAGAGTTTTTATTACTATTATGGGCTGATTGCTTAATTAGTTAATTAGTAATCAAAGTGTAAAACTGTATAGTTAGATTAATTTGTAGATAAATACTTAGTCTTATCCGATGTAAATCTCACACGTATGAGATAAAGATAGTTAGGTAGTCAGATCCTAATTTTTAGGATCTCATCATTTAGTTTGTTAGACTTGTATCCTATATATATTGTACCCGGGTGATGGAATAAATTAAGTCATTCTATTCTCTCAAACTTACATGGTATCAGAGCGGGCTGTTTAAACACCACAATGGTGGAAACCGAGCACTCTGGTTCTTCCCCTCACTCACAAACCCTTCACCCTAACTCCCAAATTAGCCAAATGACAAACTATCAGGCCTCGATTAATTCATCTATGCTCATTACTGGACATAGATTGAATGGAACTAATTATCTAGAATGGTCACAGTCTGTCAAGCTGGCAATTGATGGAAGAGGAAAGCTGGGATACATAACGGGTGAGATAGCAGAGAAGAAAAGTGGTGATGATGGCTACAGTGTCTGGAGGTCAGAAAACTCTTTGGTAACAGCCTGGCTTCTCAGTTCAATGGATGCATCAATCGCCAAACCTCACATGTTCATGAAAACTGCAAAAGAGGTATGGGATTCCATCAAAGAAACCTATTCAGATCTTGAGAACTCTTCTCAGATTTATGAATTAAAAACAAAGCTGTGGCAGTCTAAACAAGGCAGTAGAGATGTCATCTCATACTATAATGAGATGGTATCCCTATGGCAAGAGTTAGACCAATGCTATGATGCTGAAGAATGGGAAAGTGCCAAGGATCTGGCAAGACACAAAAAGAGGGAAGAAAATGATAGGGTCTATATGTTCCTAGCAGGAATTAATAGAGACCTGGATGAAGTTAAGGGAAGAATACTTGGAAAAAAACCTCTACCTTCAATCAGGGAGGTATTTTCTGAAATCAGGGTGGAAGATAGTAGGAAAAAGGTCATGAATAACACTTCAGTCCATCATGATGATCCAGGAGAGTCCTCAGCAATGATTGCCAAAGGAAATGAGAAGAAAAAGCCTTGGTGTGATCATTGCAAGAAACTGTGGCATACTAGGGAGACTTGTTGGAAGATTCATGGCAAACCACCTGGAGCAGGACAGAAAAAAGTTGAAAGGGCCTTACATACTGCCATACCTGAAACTGATCAAGAGCAACAAGTCAATTTCAAGCAGCCAATTTTCACCAAGGAGCAGATAGAGCAGCTCCTACAACTTCTTAATACCCAAAAGAACCCTAAATCAGAAAACCCTTCTTGTTCTTTTGCTCAGAATGGTAAAATTGCATCATTTTTCTGTTCTGGAAAATCAAATGCCACCTGGGTCATTGACTCAGGTGCAACAGACCACATGACCTCCATTTCCAATCTATACTCTTCTTATAAACCTTGTGCAGGGGATAAGAAAATAAAAGTTGCAGATGGCTCTCTTTCAGCCATTGCAGGAACTGGAAATATTAAAGTTTCCACTTCTATTGACCTTTCTAAAGTCTTACATGTCCCAAATCTATCCTGTAATCTTGTTTCTGTTAGCAAATTAACCAAAGATCTTCAATGTTGTGTTAAATTCTATCCTTCCTATTGCATTTTTCAGGATCTGGCATCGGGGAAGATGATTGGCAGTGCTAGGGAAGAAGATGGACTCTATATATTTGATAAAGGGACTGAATCAAATAAACAAGGTCAAAGAACTACTTGTCTGCAAACTATTACATTTCCCAGTGATAAGGAGTTGTATTTAATTCATTATAGACTAGGTCATCCTAGTTTCCATTATTTAAAAAAGTTGTTTCCTCAATTATTTCATAATAAAAATGTTTCACAGTTTCATTGTGATATGTGTACACTTGCAAAGCATCATAAAAATTCTTATCTTCCCCACAGTTACAAACCTACCAGCCCTTTTACTCTTGTGCATAGTGATATTTGGGGAGCATCTAGAATCCCTACTTTAAAAGGAAAGAGATGGTTTGTAACAATTATTGATGATCATACAAGAATGACATGGGTATTTTTGATCAAAGAAAAATCAGAAGTAGAAAATGTATTTAAGCAGTTTTATGCAATGGTCCAAACTCAATTCAATACCAATATAAAAATGGTAAGAAGTGATAATGGCCGTGAATACTTTTCTACAAACCTAAATCATTTTTTTGCTGAAAAAGGAATAATTCATCAAAGTTCTTGCATTAATACTCCTGCTCAGAATGGAATTGCTGAGAGAAAAAATAGGCATTTACTTGAAGTTACACGTGCAATCATGTTTTCAATGAAAGTTCCAAAATATTTATGGGGAGATGCTGTTTTACATGCTACCTATTTAATAAATAGGATGCCATCAAAAGTTGTAGGGTTCAAAACTCCAATTAGTATTCTGCAAGAATGTTACCCTACTACTAGATTGATTAGCACTCTTCCTTTAAAAATCTTTGGTTGCACTGTTTTTATTAAAAATCCAGACAAAACAGCAAGTAAATTTGATCCTAGAGGAACTAAGTGTGTCTTTTTAGGTATTTCATCCACACAGAAAGGGTATAAATGCTTTGATCCTTCAACAAAAAAGATGTTTATTTCAATGGACACTGTTTTTGTTGAAAATCAAGTGTTTTTTGATACTCATCTTCAGGGGGAGAGTTTTAATGAAGATGCTACCAATGTGTCACATATTCATGACAATCTTGATTTTCTTGACATTAATCTAGATATGCATTCTATTAGAAACTTAGATGCATTAGAAAATGGTCAAGCATCAAAAAATAATGAAATGAATACAACTGATAAACTGGGAGGTGAAGAATTGCAGATCAGTAAGTTCTTTGGCAAGGTTTATGAGAGAAAGGTTCCAAATCAAAGAGAAGAGGAAGTCTTTGAACCTACATCTGTTAATGAATCTGACCAGATGTCAGTAAATGAAAAAGGTAATGACTCAACTGATCTTGATTTACCTATAGCTCTCAGAAAAGAAAGAAGGTCATGTGTCAAATATCCTATCTCAAACCATGTTTCTTATTCTAGATTATCCTCTACATTTGCAACCTTTTCTTCTATTGTCTCCTCTGTTTCTATCCCATCAACCATACAGGAAGCTCTATCTAAACCTGAGTGGAAAAAGGCTGTTTTGGAAGAGATGGATGCTCTTGAAAAGAATCAGACATGGAAGGTTGTAGAGCTACCTAAAGACAAGCCCACAGTTGGATGTAGATGGATTTTCACTCCTAAGTTCAAGGCAGATGGCACTCTTGAGAGGTATAAGGCAAGGTTAGTTGCCAAAGGTTATACACAAACCTATGGCATAGATTACACCGAGACCTTTGCTCCAGTTGCAAAGCTGAATACTATCAGAATTCTTCTATCCCTGGCTGCAAATTTAGATTGGCCTCTTCAACAGTTGGATGTGAAGAATGCTTTTTTAAATGGAAAACTTGAGGAGGAAGTTTACATGAATCCTCCTCCTGGGTTTGAAAACAAGTTTGGTTCAAGAGTATGTAAGCTAGAAAGATCCCTGTATGGACTCAAACAGTCCCCAAGGGCTTGGTTTGATAGGTTCACACAGTTTGTTAAAAAACAGGGATATAAACAGGCCCAAGCTGACCATACTCTATTTATAAAATGTTCAAGTAAGGGGGAGATTGCTATATTAATTGTCTATGTAGATGATATTATCATTACAGGAGACTTTCATGAAGAAACACAAAGCCTGAAGAAAAAACTTGCTGCTGAATTTGAAGTCAAAGATCTGGGAGATTTGAAATACTTTCTTGGCATGGAAATAGCTAGATCAAAAGAGGGAATAATTGTATCTCAAAGGAAGTATGTTTTAGATCTTCTTCAAGAAACAGGGATGAGTGCATGTAAACCAGCTGACACTCCTATAGACTCAAACCAGAAGTTAGGAGATGTCAGAGATGGGGTTCCAGTCAATGTGCAACAATATCAGAGATTGGTAGGAAGACTTATATACTTAGCACATACCAGACCTGATATTGCTTTTGCAGTTAGCATGGTAAGTCAGTTTATGCATTGTCCATATAAAGAACATCTTGAGGCAGCCTACAGAATTCTTAGGTATTTGAAAAGTTGTCCTGGAAAAGGTTTGTTTTTCAAAAAGAACCATAGTAGGGCAGTAGAGGCCTTCACAGATGCTGATTATGCAGGATCAGTAAGTGATAGAAGATCTACTTCAGGGTACTGCACTTATGTATGGGGAAATCTAGTGACTTGGAGAAGTAAGAAGCAGAATGTGGTAGCTAGAAGCAGTGCAGAGGCAGAATTCAGATCAATGGCCAATGGTATATGTGAACTTCTTTGGATCAAGAGGGTGATCAAAGAACTGAATATGGAATTGGAGTTACCTATGAGACTATATTGTGACAACAAGGCAGCTATTAGCATTGCACACAATCCAGTCCTACATGACAGAACAAAACACATTGAAGTGGATAGACACTTTATCAAAGAGAAAATCGAAGCTGGAATTGTGTGTACACCATTTGTGCCTACCAGGGATCAAACTGCTGATATTCTAACAAAAGGATTGTTCAAACCAGTGTTTGAAAAACTAGTAAGCAAGTTGGGAATGTATGATATATATTCACCAACTTGAGGGGGAGTGTAAAACTGTATAGTTAGATTAATTTGTAGATAAATACTTAGTCTTATCCGATGTAAATCTCACACGTATGAGATAAAGATAGTTAGGTAGTCAGATCCTAATTTTTAGGATCTCATCATTTAGTTTGTTAGACTTGTATCCTATATATATTGTACCCGGGTGATGGAATAAATTAAGTCATTCTATTCTCTCAAACTTACACAAAGCCATGTTAACAGGCAGACAGGTTAATTAATGGTCAGGACTTCCAAAAGTAACTAAATAAACAAGTTAAAATCCATTAAAAATGGCGTTCATGTCGTGGTGATGGTGCCAATATGGCATCACCACATGTTCACTTGTCGTCATGAAGGTTTTTCGTGACGAGGGGTCTTCATATCCCCATATAGTGCATATGCTGTGCGCCACATTGTGCCTTAGACAACTATTACTTGTGATACTATACTATAGTACATGTCACGAGATACAACCCTTCTGCCGTATTTGAAGCCACTTGCAGGCATTACTAAATATTATTGGCATCATGACTTCTGACCACTTAGGTTGCAACTATCAAAGGCCACATCGGTCATGTCCGGGTATCCGACCACCATATGCACGTCCATTTATCCAGGATCCAAGGCACATGAATCGGGTACTATTTTACCACATACTACGTTTGTATGAGAGTGTGAATACAAAAACAACATTTCCTCGCGGAGAGACTGTTTCCGGATTGTTTCCGGATGACTCATGATGAAAATCGTGTGGGAAGTTGCATGAACTGACCGTTGCTTTATACATTGTAGTTAATGGCAAGATATAGTGCACGCCATATGCGCCATTGCCACGAAAAAATGGTCGTCGCCATAGCGCCATTCGTATATGCGCCATCGCCATGCACCATGAAAAATGCCATTGAGCCATGGTGATCGCCATGTGCCATGACAACAATGACTTTATAACAAAGAAGCATAGGCAATTTTATGAGGCATTTTGCAATATTCCATCTTATTCTGAAGTCAAAAAATACTGAGTCTTTGGCTCCATTAGAAATGATGGAAATTGTATGAGAGTGTGAATGAGTTGGCAAAAAATAACAGGTCCACATAATGAATGTAGAAAAATAAGTTATGCAAAATGTAACTGGTAGAGAGTATGTAAATGTGAGAGTTGATCCCCAAAAGTGGCAAACACTGGCAGATGCGACCACCAGTAGCAAATGCAAAGTAATGAATTTGGAAAGGAAAATATGTGGCTATGTTCAAGTAAGAATGTTATCCTAAATCAAAAGAAGAAGAAGGATTAGTAGTTAGTGCCCCTATCGAAGTTAAAATGCAAACCCAAAATACAATACAAGACAAATAAACCTTGATACACCACTTTTTGAATCTCATTCATCTATGAAGCTACAATATAATCACTTTTTTTCTTTTTTATGTGTTTTTTGTAATAATACATGACTTATCTTGACTTATTTTTAATAGTTAGTTTATTTACAATGAGATAGAGGGGAGTAAATCCAAATATCACCATCTGGACATTTTCTCATAAGCTGCTAGTTGAGTATCACTAATTATAGCAATGAAATTTTAGAAAGTTGAGCTTACCCGTGGGCAGTCAAGGTCACCAATAGACAAGACTTTTCGCACTCTTAGTGTTTGGTTCAACAATGATCCAGATTTTCCGAAGCTAGCTTTGGGATCACAAGGATCCAGAGCAATTCTTTTCAGCTTAAAAAGCATGTCTGCATCAGAATATTTTCCAAAAACAGATCCTCTTGATTCTAGTGATGAACATCCTTCGACAATTCCCTGCTCTATTCTTTGATTCTGTCTATCCATTTATTTGGCCTAGCGCTGCTATCACCTCTTTCTCCAATTCAACTCTGATCGTAAGCTACAAAACACATTAGATTTATAAATCACACCTGTCAAAATTTAGTTGCAAAAGAAAGAATGGAATGAAACATGAAAATCCAATATGATGCAGAGTAGCTATTATTTGCATTCACTAATTTATAAGCCATATCTAAACACTGACGACAACAAACTCAAAACACCTCAGATCACCTATCCCAGAATAAAGGAAACTCAACTAGATCAGTCTTTGAATATACGATCAACTCAACTAAAACTGTTATTATAATATCCAACTGCCTCTACGTTATAGCCTATAGCCAACTAATTCAGTCCGTTCTGTTAACAAAACCCAAAAGAAAAACGACGAGAATACGCAAAGGAGTTCAGTGTTACTCTACGTCATTAACTATCCATAGAACTTCCAAAGTATGTAAACCCTAGATTTCTAATTTACACACTATTGATTCTAAGTTTACTGGTATACTGAGAAAAAATGCATAAAAGTGTTAGTGTATACATTTATATACGATGCATGTGTAAATACAGCGAGATCTTGACGAATAAGTGAGAAACGATCTGCTAAACGATTTGTAAGTATGTAGAAACAAACTTCACCCATGTTTGCAAAAACACACACCCAATCATACGCACATATGTTCTCGTACTGATGATTCAGGCGGAAATAGCGCTGGTCGGAGATGGTGTCTGAACGGAGCGTGACTTTGACGGGTCGGGTCGCCGGCGTGCACTAATTTTAGCCCGTACGGCTTTTTTCTTGAGTTTTCGTTTTCTTCCCTTTTCTTCCCTTTTTTTCTTTTACACCCCTTGAGTTTGAGCAAGAGAGAAAGATGAACAAAAACCTACAACCAATTCAAATTCATTGTATACTAAAACGTTATATCTCTCCTTATTTGAAAGATCTTACATTATTTTGGTAAGTTTTTCTTCACAATGTCAATCAAAATGTCTAGATGTAGACATTGTGGTTGACATTGAAGAGAAAAACTTACCAAAAACACATAAGACCGTAGAAAGAAGGAGAGAGAAATGTCATAAAATCAATATTTTGTGTCTATATCTCTCATGCCACATGTGCACCGTGCACATTGTAGCATTGGAGATGCTCTAATACTTACAATGATATCATACTCTTAGGGGTAATTAATGAGTTTGGATATGGTACAACCCGTTGTATCATATACATCATACAATCAGTGACATTTTTGTAATTTTAGATTAAAAATCGTGGCTTCTGTTAATTAAGCATCAATGCACTTTTATTGAAAATCAGACCTATTATATTGAATATTGAGAGTCTAATATTGAGCACCATGATCTTTGTTTCATATTTTGTAATTCACTTTCTTTTTCTTATTATTTCTTTTATAAAAGTTTTTAAAACTATGTCTGTAATCAACTCTTGTGAATTTCAATATATGAATCTAATTTAATATTATACTTTTGAAACATTCAATTATATGAAAATCATAAGTTATATTAGTTGAGCCTCGAGTCATGTTTATTGAACTTGGAGTGTTCTCTATTGAGAGCATGAAACATTGCAATTGAGTATAAGAATTTCAAAATTTATTAAGCATAAAAACAACATCATTGAGCTGAGTATCACGTTATCTACTATTGAACATTCAGAATCAAATCCTTCCAAGCCCATTTCTTTTTCAAAAATACCTTTTTCTTCTCTCATATCATTCTCATTGAGTATCGTGTCATCTACTATTGAGCATTAAGACTATGTGAGCAAACTCCAATCTGATTATCGCGAACTCCGCTCAAACATGCGGTGATGGTGTGAGTTTCATTTGCTAGGAGGAGTCAACGAGCACGATCAGGAGCATCTGATGCGAGACGAGTGTCTGGACGTCTTGATGCAAACAACGAGCCTAGCTTCTGTCTGAGTGCGAGCGGCGAGCAATCATGTCACTCTCCGGACCATATCCGTGCCACGTAGACAACCGTCGTACAACTCAATAAGAATAAAAAGTTGTTCCCATTGAATTATACAAGGTGTCCGATAGATTCTATTGCCAAATCGATTAGTAAATGCCACAATCAACATCAATATCATAAACAAACAAATGCGGAAATAGTAATATGTTTAAATATTTAGCCAGACGTGGCAAACACAAGCAAGCAGGCCCTCGAATTGTTAATAGAAAATAATGTTCAAATGTCCATGAACAAATTCCATATATTTTTAAATAAGAATGGAAGCACGAACCAAGTCTTCCTTATTCGATGATCACCCTAGGAAAATGTGCAGGTCGTAGGGCTCAAACCTCACCCTGAAAAAAATAGTGAGGCCCCCGAAGGGGTCATTACTCCTTAGAAAGAAGTACTAGTGACAAGCAGATTATATGAGGAATAACTAATGTTTCAGTCACAAGATCCAAAAATATGGTCATACATATATTTATAGGTGTAACTACCGTTACCACATCCATAAGATGATATATACTGTATATACTTGTAAAATACTCAACCCATGGGTCATTTTCATTTAAACAGTCTTTTAGATAATAAGTCTATATTCGACCCTTTTCATTTCTTTCCTGAATGCCTTGCTCGTAAGCTACATGCATCCTACATTCGTATATACTACCGAGTGTTTTAGGATCATCTATCGTCTAAGGGTGCTCAACCCCAACCTGGAGTATTTAGGATCATTTACCGCTCAAGAGTACTCTACCCCAACCTGGAGTATTTAGGATCATTTACCGTTCAAGGGTACTCAACCCCAACTTAGAGTATTTATTAAAATCATTTACTGTCCAAGGGTACTCACCCCACCTATTCTTTCCATAATCCTAACCCGAATATGGACAACACCTCATGCATTTATATGTGGACTATTCCTAGTCCTATAATCATATATAATTTCTTAGAGATCATCATGGAAGATTCACACTTGAACTAACCATGATGAACCACCCAAAACTGTCCAATTCTATAATGGGGTAGAGTTTTGACTTGGAGGTCAATGCCCATTTGACAACCCAAACTAGGTCCAATGTCTATGAAATTTCACACACATATACATATCATAATAAGGAATCCAAAAATAACATTTTGAGCCCATGGAACATCACACATAATAAATGATGACATTTTTAATAACCAAACTCGCATAATATGCTTTTCCACTACAATCATGGTTTAACAAGGGATAAGACATACATAGATACAATTAATCATTTCATAAAATATATTCTTGATTAATTTAGATAATTTCATTCCTCACGCAAAAGTTATAAATCATATAGCCGTCTTCTCACCTTAATGAAGCTTGTGAAGTTCTAGCCTTCCCGGTTGAGCTCCGGCGAAACTTCGGCGAGCTCCGGCGACCACTCCGGCCACTTCTCAAGTACTTGAGAAAGTAAACTTCACCTTCAACAAGTACCTATCAAGGTTTTGTGTCCAAAAGACTCATATTAATAACTATAACTCCTCAAAAGTCACTTTCCGGCGAACCGGTCAACTTTGTTCTCTATGTCCGTTTTGGATTGAATCTGACCTTCCAACCCCTCATTCTACACTTAAATGTGTAGAACAATCCTAGGGGTATGAAATATGATTACCTAATAATATGAGAAGATTGAATAAAAAAAGGGATTAATAGAGTCATTACCTTGCACACCTCAAGTTTTACTCCCTAATTCCCCCCGTTTCTTCTCTTTCTCCCTTCTTCCTTCCTCCCTTGTTCTTGGTGCGTGTATGGCCGATAAAAATGGACTTTTGCAGACCTTCTCTCACCTTGTTTGAGGTCTTGGCCGGTCGAATGGGTAAGGGTGGGTGTTAATTGAGAATGCTTTTTTGGCATTTCTCACAATAATGTGAGAGAGATCAGAGGGTCCCTTCCCCTTTCCAATTTGTCTCCTCATCACTTCCTTATTATTTCTTTAGCTCAAAATGAGTCTCTCCATATTTTTTGCAATACCAAAAATGTGGTATGGCCCCCACTCATGTGGGAGGTCATCCCTTTGTACCCCGAAATGTATACAAATTCGGTCTCGAAAGTTGTACTTTCTGGAGTGTTTTGATTAAATTTCATTCTATTGGGTCAAATAAAATATATATCATTATTCCAATTATTATGGACTTCTAGAAATAATATATATTTCCAAAATTTAATGTAGTGGTCTCCGTAATTTATTATGGCTTTTATGTGTCAGTATGCCGATACCGATAAATGGGCCTAGTATGCACAATTGGCCAACTCTACATTGTTTCTATGGACCAACATGGATATCCATCATCATATAAATATTATCTAGACCTAGATGTAAAATTGTGAGGAGGCAGCCCTTGTGATCCTACGAGAACTCCACATCAATATTATTTAATTTTAACTTAAACTGAAAAAGGTCAAAATTGTCCTAGGACGGTTACGAAAAGTAAAAATGGGGGTGCGCAAAGCAATCCCCTATTTTGAATCGATATCTACCATATTTGAAGGTTTTTAAACACTCCATAAATTCCTTCATCCCTCAGCTCACACTATAACGCACCTCGATACTCGCTTCTTTCTAGTCATATAATAGCCCTTATATCTTTATATGAGTATTACAACAACAACAACAACAACAACAACATCCGAGCCTTATTTTCAATAGATTTTGGGATCGACTAACATGAATCTAGATTTTGGGAAACTTACCCTAAATGCTCATGGCATGAATGTACTACATCTTGGCAAGTACCGCCTAAGCCAGTCCACAGTTGTGTTTTCCCCTTGAACCTAATTATGAGGCATGTACTCTCGATAATAGGTAGGTGTCACGCCCCAGACCGCATCCGAGCGCGTGTACAACCGCCGTATGACTAAATGACGTCACTCGCAAGTCAACATGACTTAATCATACAAGGCGTCCATGAACATTGTTCATACCATACTCAGTAAGTAAACATACATAACAACATCACATATTTGGATTGAACGAAATCGCGGAAATATTCAAAGTTCAACCGTGGGCCACATATGGCCAAAACGTGGGCTCGCAGGCCCAAAACGAATGTACTTATTACAAAATATCCATGAGCATAGTTTATAGTTTAAAACGGTAAAGGAAGCACGAACCACGTCTCCCTTCAGATTACTTCACCGAGCAAGGTGAGAATGCAAGCTTGAACTTCAACCTGAAATGGTGGGGCCCCCCGAAGGGGTCAGTACATGTACCGAGCGAGTAGCAGGCTAAATGTAGAATAACTAACGTTTCAAGTATAAGACCCAAACATAGGGTGATACATATACATATAGCTCTTTCCCCCAAGTTATGAAATATATATCATTATATATATACACTTGGAAATACCCGACCCGTAGGTCATTGTTTATTTGGGAAATAATATAGTCGTTAAACTTGGCTTAAACCTCAACCCACCCATATACCTATGAGTGTATAGAACTCCTCCTGGTTCAAATCATCTTCACATAAGGACACCGCCCGGTCCTAAATTACAAAATACTAATCTATGAGTTTTGAGGATACACACCCGATCCTTGGGTACTCCACCCTATAACCGAGTTTTGAGGATAACCGCCCGATCCTTGGGTACTCCACCCTATAGCCGAGTTTTGAGGATACACGCCCGATCCTTGGGTACTCCACCCTATATAACCGAGTTTTGAGGATACACGCCCGATCCTTGGGTACTCCACCCTATAACCGAGTTTTGAGGATAACCGCCCGATCCTTGGGTACTCCACCCGACTTATGATCTACCACATATCATCCTAGATAAGGTCTATATCATAATCAATAATCAAGACCAAACCAAGTCTTAAGGCCTAAGCAGAATCATCCATGCAATTCATGCATTAAAAATCAACATATAGGCAAAACAGTGCCAAACCG